AAAGCTAAGCACTGCAAGCCAGGTTCCATTAGTCTGAAAGCACAGCATTTGCCACACAGAAGAGAAATGGAATGGAAAGGAAAGCTTGATTTTTGTAAAAAACACACCGTGAAAATAAGCTTGTTAATCCATTTCCCCCAAAATTGCAGGCCCTTCTCTCAAGCAAACTCTGCTCAGAAAACTTGATAAACATTTCAGTGCAATAATTTGATGATTTATAGATCAATCTTTTGGTATCTTTCCCTGCACATGTCACGTTCAATTTCTTCCCCTCATTAGGCTACTCTCTCTTTCATTAAATAGTTCCTCTGTCTAACTTGCCAAGGAACTGCCAATGGGCCCCCCATCTTACAGAAGAATAGGCCCAGTTTTACCAATGGGAAAGGGCCTCTAATGTACCATGGACAGAGTACAATGAAGCATGGAAATTTGCCTGTGTTAATGATGCTATTCCACATTGATCGGTGAAAACAAAATCTTTAATAGCTAAATGACATCCAGTGTTTCTATAGCCTGTTGAATCTGAAAACAGGGGAAGCAAAAATCGGTGTCCCTTGAGAGGTGGAATCAAAGAAGCTGCAATGTCCATTTTTTCCAGGTCTGGCTGGAAACACTGGCAAAAAAAAGAGAAAACCCACACTTTAAGCATGTTAGCAGTTTAAAATCAATGGACATTAAGGTTTTGGATTAATAAACAGATGAGTGTGTCGTCACAGTTCAGGGCAACGGCACCTGAATTTCCCCTCTGTGGTCCAACAAGGTCACCCACTCGCAGACTTCCAGCTTCCCAATTGTTGCCTCTTGGATGGAGACCCACATCTCACTCCCTTCTGACGAGAATATGGCCAGGCTGCACAGCTCCCTGATTGCACTGTGTATTTCCCAACAAAGGCAGTCTGCCTAAACAGACCTGCTTGCTTTCTCTTTAGAGACTGACAGAGTGATTGCCACAGATATAAAAGTTACCACACAGTTCTAAGCAAGCCTACTTTATTCTTAAGGTAAAAAGCGTTACAGAGAAAACAATAAAAGAACCTACATGCATCCTAATAAGCTTGTCAGAGTTCACCCTATCATGGATTCTGGCAGGCCCAGTCCTTCCAAGCCTATCCTAAGGATTACTTGTGGCACCTTAGAGACTAACAAATTTATTTGAGCATAAGCTTTCATGGGCTAAAACCCACTTAATCAGATACATGCAGTGGAAAATACCAATTAAGTGGGTTTTAGCCCACAAAAGCTTATGCTCAAATAAATTTGTTAGTCTCTAAGATGCCACAAGTACTCCTCGTTCTTTTTGCTGACACAAACTAACATGGCTACCACTTTGAAACCTATCCTAAGGATTGGGGCCCTCTGCAGACCGGGGTTCTGTCCGTGTGCTGGATCAGGAAGAAGGCCCTGAGTCCACCAAACCCAGGTTATTTATCCAAAAGTCTTTTCTTTGCCTCTTGTTCTCTGGAGAATTCAGTTCAAACAGCTATGTGCATTTGTCCCCAGGGGGGATGGCTACAATAGCTGATAACCAGGAAGTTCATTACCTTCTCTAGTAGGGTGGGGGAATATGCTATATACAATGCCACCACACACACACAACTGCATTTTTCATACAATGTACCCCAAAAGATATTAACCCTAATTCAGAAAATGTATCTTAAATCAATAAAGTGTATCTTCATTCCATAAGGTTTCTTCAGGATACTGTCAGTTTGTCACATATGTACTTACGTCTGCATATGCTATACACATATACACGATTCATTACACAGCACAGTCGAAAGCATTAGTGCAAAATATCTTTCACCGGTAGAAATAAAATCTGTGATGCTTATTTTTAAGGAAAATGGAGCAAATCATTGTAAAAAAAAAAAAAAAAAATTACACCAACATCCTTTGACACTTTTAGTTACTAATCCCATTAAGAACCCATCCCAAGACTTCCCAGTTCAGCAGAGCACCTAGCACATATTTAAGTGTTTGACTGAATCCCAGCTTGAGCGCAACCTAGGAAGTGTTGAGCACCCTCAACACATATTGGATGCTCTGCATCTCTCAGGAGCAGGCTCTCTGGGTTGCTCAATACAGGCGATCTTTGAATGAAATTAATGGAGAATTGTAGTCAATGGGCCAAATTCAGCTCTCAAGTGTGCCTGGGTAAATCTGGTATAACACCACTGACTTTGATGGAGTTAATCTGGTGTAAAGGTGGAGAAGCTATGAGCAGAAGTGGATGCAATATGTTTGGGACTACTTAGGACAATCACTGAAGATGGGAGGTCACCAATGAAGTTTCTTCTACAGGTTTCACAATTTAGGAAGACTGAGAGCTATGGGTAATCAATTCTTTTTTGTCAAGGTCCAAATTTTTTGGTCAAGGTATAGTCAAGGTCCAGACTCCAGAGAAAATAATACAAACATAATAATAATGATGATGATAATAAGTAAATAAAAAGATTTTGTAGTCCATTGAAAAGCTCCGGGTGGTCTCGATTTGGCCAGCGGTTTGCCTGTTGACTACCCCTGGTTTACACTGTAGTTTATGCTAATCAAGGTATTTGATTGATATTTCTGTTATAGAAACCCTTATTTTCAGGATATTACAATTTGTCAAAAATTCATTGGATTGTTTAAGACTTCATAGCAGTCCAGATTTTCATAATACAATAGGCTTATCTAAACTACTGCTAAAGTCGATGTAACTTACGCCTGTGTGAAAAAACCACCTCCCCGCCCGCCAGACGTAAGTTACTTTGGCTTAAAGCCATGTCTACACTGCACTATGTCAGCAGGAGACACTCTCCTGCTGCCATGGCTTCTGCTCTTGTTGAGGTGGAGTAATTATGTTGACGGGAGAGCGCTCTCCCATCTACATAGCGCTTCTTCACCAGCTGCGCTACATCGCTGCAGCGGTGCCAACGTAGCCACGGTAGTGAAGACAAGCCCAACAATAAAGGGTCATCAACGGAGGTCAATAATAAGCATTTTAGGACTCTTTAAATACTAGTTTACTCAATAAACCAGACTAGCACTAAAGGGAAGTGTTAGAGTCCAGGAAACGAATACCTCACACAGCATGTTAATAATTCCCTAATATGTTGTATTCTTAGCCTTTCTTTGCTGATCTGAAATATCTGACTCAATATAAAAAGCTCCTTAAATATGTGTTTACATAGTTGGCTCAGTAATCTACTTGTAGAAAGTGGGCTTTTGTGGGGGACAGACATTTTGGTTTTCTTTGAACACTGCTTGAGTTACACTAAATAAATGCAACGAGGAGTCTGGTGGCTCATTGTTTTTGTGGATACAGACTAACACAGCTACCCCTCTGATACTAAATACATTAATCCTTAAATTTCTTGGATAAATTTTGGTTTTGTCCTCCTCATTTTGGGTCCCACATATGGCCTGTGGCAATTTAAGAGTATAACTGTCACGAGGAATATCTCTGTAAGTAACCAAATAACTATGGACAATTCTGCAACAGGTCCCATACTTCACTACTCATTCAAGCAAACTCTGATTGCAGTCAAATACCGAAAGCAAGGACTACAGGATCTGATCAAGTAGTTACTAGTCCATTCCAAATCTGGGCTCCAATCTTTCTCCTAATGAAAGCAGTTGAGGATCTATGCAAGGAAAGGCTAAAGGATTTGGCCTGTAATTTTGCAAAATCCATGATCTACTTTTTGCTGTAAGTGGCTGATCAGATTTTCATTGTGACCACTAGAGAGTGGGTGACAGCATGCATAACACAGAGGAACCTATAAAGTTAATCACTCCTATGCAACATCATTTTTCACATATTATTCTCTTATTGTCTTTCCTCAAGCTCTTTCATATTTGATCTCCTTGAGAAAAACAGCCTTGCCTACTGATATAAAAAAAAAAATCACAATTTTCAATGCCAGGGATTGAGTTATCCGATAAGACCTGCCCAAAGCCATCAACAATGACTGAAATAATGACTGGAAATGGTCTTGTCTTCATTATAAGTGGTTTGGGTGCTGAGTTTTCCACTGAATTAAATGGAAATTGAATAGACCAGCAAATGAGCTGAGTGGAAGGCGTAACATAACGCTTAGGAAAGAGTTACTGAAATTCACAGTTAACTATTTAATTCAACCATAAAAATTAGAAATGGGACCAACCAATAAATAACAGCACGATATTTCCTTTTTTAAACTCTCTCCAGCCCAGGGCTAATAAATCTAACCAGGTTTATGCCTCAAACAGTTTTGCTGACATACAAGAGGAAGAAAGTTTGTGGAAGGAGAAGGCAACTTCCCATTATGGAAGGTATTTTTGGATGTAATGAAAATTTTAGGCTAAATGCCAGAAACTTTATTCCCCAAAGTATAAATGGTGAAAGGCTGAAAATATTTTATTTTTAGGTGCGAAAAGCCTTTACGGGGCTCCGATTCTGACACAAAGTGACAAAAGGCCGACAAAACACAGTCAGGGCTGGAATGAATTCGAAGTCAAATTCATTCCTAGTGTAGCATCACTTAAAGTAGGTCTCCTCAACATGTCACTCTAGGGTTTAGAGACAATATGGTCTCCTTGGTTCAAAGTGGAATTCCTAGTGATATCGATGGGACCTCCACAAACAGGCAGAAGGCAGCCAACACCCTTTGCTTGTTCTGTGCCTGGGTATTGCATGCCAAATTTTGGTAATGTATCACTGCCTTTTATTTGCTGCTCATAGATATTAGTGCTGTTTTTATTTTTATGGTTCTGTGCCCTTTCCTGCAATAATGATGGGTTCACTTGGCATTCCACACCCAAGCTAAACAAGCCATTTTGGGAATTCTTAAACAAGAGAACAATAAGCTATGAAAGCAAAATGTCTCAACTTGCACCTTCCATTTTGGAACTATATGATCTTACAGTCATTTCCTTCCAAGCTTTCTGTAGAAAGGAATTCAGAAACAGAAGGCAGGTTCTAGCAAAGAATAGGGGAGGACGTTACCATGGCTGTAAATAGAGTCTTAAATACTTACTGCCTCTGCATCACTGGTGTGTCACATTCAAAGTCACACTCAGGGAAATATCCTGTAATAACCTGAGGAAACACCAAAGAAAATGGTAAGTGGGGAGAGGACACACTGGACCAGGTCTCAGCAGAATACAGCAAAGACTTTAAAAACAAAAAAGCATTACTATTATTTAAAAATAATTATTTTTAAATCACCCTGATATTTTGAATTAAGAGTTAAATACAGAATAGGACAAAGACTACAAAAACGTTTCGGTCAATGTTCATTTCAATGTGGCTTCGTAATTTGCTTTGCTTGTGCACACTCCAGTTTTGTATTTGCTTTCTGCATTTATCCTAACCGCAGTTTTAGAAATTTTGCAGAAACAATAACATAGCATTTGTTTGAAAATTGGATATGTGTATGGCCCCCATTACCGGAGTATCTGTGCACCTCCCAATCTTTAATGCACTCATTCTCCCAGACTCCCTATGAGGAACGGCAGGGATATTATCACCATTTTACAGATGGGGAACAGAGACACAGAGAGGCTAAGTGACTTCCCCATGGTCACAAGGGAGGTCCATGGTTGAATCCAGATCTGTGAGGTCACTAACCACTGGACCATCCTCTCTCTTGTTGTGAGAAGCAAAATTTGTAAACAAGTACATTTGCTCTATACATCTAATTCTTGAGAATTATCTTCACCCATTCAAGAAGCAGAAACATACGACATGTCCAATCCAAACTAACCTACCCGGCTCGCATTTAGAATTCCATGAAAGTCTCACAATGGGTTTGCAGAACTGGAGAAACTCTTTAGCTGCTTGATGACAGTGAAGAGGCAAGAGTAAGCTATTAATAGTATGAAACTGGATTGCGGTAGTGTCAGAAAGCTTCAACCCATTTGGACCCCCTTGTGTGAGGTGCTATACAAACATAATAAATGACAGTCTCGGCCCCGAAGAGCTTACAGTCTAAATGACAGTCTTGGAGGTTGGAGACTTAAGTAAGTAGACAGGCAGGACCACTACAATAAGGAAAAGTATAAGTTCTTTTACCAAGACTGGTTGTGAGTGCAATTTTTAGCCAATCAGTTACTCACTTTGGGACAGATTCTGATATCCTTACCCACATCGAATAGCGTCTTACTCCATGAGAAGTCTCACTTAAGTCAATGGGAGCACCCATCTCTCTCTAGATATCTACCTGCCCGCCCCCTATCGCTGTACTATCTAAGTACCTCACAATCTTTAATGTATTTATCCTCATAACACCCTGTTTGGTAGGAACACCTATTATGCCCATTTTACAGATGGGGAACTGAGGCCCTGAGAGGCTAAGTGACTTGCCCAAGGTCACATAGGAAGCTGTGCCCTAAGCACTGGGCTGTGGACCTCCCAAAGAGAATGTGTCACTTGTCATGAGCAAAGGGTATCAGAACCTGGCCCTCTGAATTTCTTGCTCATCTCTGATATCTGATTATCCTCCCAGTAGAAAAGACTCTAAAGCAGAGGTAGTCAATAGGTGAACCGTGGGCCAAATCTCGACAGCCAGATGCTTTTGAACGGACTCCAAAATATTTTTATTTACTTATTATCATTATTGTTATTTTTGTTTTATTTTCTCTGGAGTCTGGACCTTGATTATACCTTGCCCAAAGAAAGATGGACCTTGTACAAAAAATAATGGACTACCCCTGGCTCTAAAGTGTGTAGCTCTTGCAGATCTTACAGCAAAAAAATAATAGTTCTAATAATTGCAGCAGCATCCAATCTGGGAAAAACAAGGAAGCTGCAACAACAGAAGAGCATTCACACCGTTGGCAGAGAGGACCGAGACAATTGTTTTCCCACAAGAAACTTCATTTATCATGTCTCCACAATGCAGAAGCGGCTCTCAGGCCCTTTTTTGTAACATTTTAAACCTGTCACACACACAGGGTCACACACCCACCATCAGCTTTCAATTTCCTTCCCTTCCCTAATTGTGCTTGTGGGAAAAACTAGAGGCGGGGTTTTTGGAGAGGAAATCTCCACAGGGTTCTCCCCAGCTGTTCTACCTGGGGCTGGACTCAAACGCTGCAGAGCCCAAGAGCTTTCCCCACAGGCTCTTTGGCAACATGGGCATTATTGAAGTCGCACTAGCAATGACGCGCCTGAGGATTCTCCTCAAAAAGGGAAGGACGAGTAACTAACATTCCGCTCAGATGATACAACCGCTGCATACAGCCAGTGGGGGAGGACCATGTGCATTCTCATCCCTGCAGACAGCCCACCCAATCTCTTTCCAGCCTCACCCCCACTCCATCCTTGGACGCCTCTGCTTTAGGGCAATGTTACACAGCCACCCTTGACAGTTCATTAGACCAGAATATATACAAGGCAACTCGAGCCTTTTAACTCAAGATGGGGGTGGGGTGGGGTGGAGAGAGAGAGAGAGAGAGAGAGAGAGAGAGAGAGGAGGAGGCGGCTGTCTAAAAGGCATGTTGTAGCTCAGCC